AGTCTCTGTACAGAGGAGCTTACACTCTAATGTCCCCTCCACCACAGTCACATCAGTCTCTGTACAGAGGAGCTTACACTTTAATGCCCCCCCCCCCAGTCACATCAGTCTCTGTACCAGAAGAGCTTACACTCTATTATTATACATTTCTATAGCTCTGACACTCACTGGATCCGGACGCCGTGCTCTCCCGTGACACAAAGGATCGTTCCAGGGTGAGGGATGACATTCTTCGGGGGTCCGCTGGGAGTTCTGGGGGTGTTCAGGAATTCAGTGTGGGGACCTGTTCATAGGAGGGAAGTTCCTGGAAATATAAATGGCGTCTGCGCTGACTGAGATATCCGGGTGAAGCCGATGTACAATGTGCAAGGTGCCCATGCCAACCGGATATCGCATTACCCTAGCCAGATCGGTCATGTGACTGGTCATGTGACTCCTATAGATCCTAGAGACCGGACATTATGAGCTCCTTCCTATGTGATGGGAACTGTTCATTGTACAGTGCTACAGCATATGCTGGAGACATATACAGGAAATCACATGGTGTACAGTTGTACTTACTATGTATCCTTGAACCAACACAGCCACAAGGTAGAGCAGGGTAAGCAAACTCCAGCCCACCAGCTGTGGTGGAACTACAAATCCCATGAGGCACTGCAAGATGACAGCCACAGACATGGCTCCCGGAGGCAGATGCATGGTGGGGTTTGTAGGTTCACCACAGCTGGAGGGCCGAAGTTTGCCCACCCCTGAGATAGAGAGACAAGAGCTTCCTGGGTGTTGGGGAACTGCAAGTACCAGCAACCCTCAGGGCCCATTCACACCTACGCATGTTGCACAGAGGCAGCCCATTGATTTTGAATGAGCAGCAACAAAAAATGGCGCCCATGTGGGCGACGCAGCACGCTGCAACACCATGCATTGTGGGGTACCGGTGCAATGGTTGATCATGCACAGGGGCGTACAACATAAAGATTAAGCGTGTATTTCCCCCAATTGGGAGCCACAGCGGCCCATAGAAATCAATCAGGGGGATGCATCTGTACGCGGGTATACGCCGGCACAGCCATTGATTTCTACGGGCGGCTTTGGAGAGATTTCCTCTCATTTCCTGTTGTGTCTATAGGCCAAGAAGTGAAGGGAAATCTCCCCCTATAGCTTACAGACATTTTCTTATCAGCTAATATTATTAATACAAAGTTTTAGCATAATATACTGCAAACACACAAACATCTCCACAATATGCTG